GTTATTTTTTTCCACCCTTTTTTTTTTTTAAAATTTTATTTGAGAGAGAGAGAGAGAGAACGAGGGGGGGGGGTGTAGAGGGAGAGGGAGAAGCAGGGTCTACCGCTGAGCAGGGAGCTGGACCCGGGGCTTGATCCCAGGAACCCAAGATCATGACCTCAGCTGAAGGCAGATACTTAACCAACTGAGCCACCCAGGCACCCCTATTTCTTAGAGTCTTAAATTCATAGTTTATAAAGAGACAAGTGAAGGAAGCTTAAGATAGAGTCTTGAGTGCTAATCAATACTCCACTGAAGACCCAAGGTTATTCCTTCTAGTCAAAGGAGATATGAACAAATATTCTAGTTTGGTGAATTTACAAGAGGAAAACAGTTATTGAAATTTAAATGGCAAGAATAGTTTAAATCAATGTATTGTACTTTCAGTCTGGGGAAGGCGGCTCAACCTGCATTACCATCAACTGAGGGAATGAGGTGTGCAACTGAGGAAAGCAGCTCATATAAAATTCACGAGCTTTTTTATGGAAAAAAATCGATTACTTTGATACATATGTTACCACCTGTTTCACCCAAGTTGTAGACCTAGATTCCAGATTTTGAGCACTGCTTGCAGGATAACCTCGTCCCTAAGAAGATCTGACTTCTGACAACTGAACATTCGTGAACGCCTCAGGCTGGATCTTCATGACAAAACTACCTCAAGCTAACATAAAATGTCTGGCTAGATCCTACTGAATTGTTCTGTTACTCCAAGTCCAGCAGATGGCAGGGGTGACTAATTGTTCAAAGAAAACACTTGAGAAGAATGCGGTTATTCTCCTGAAATAAGATTTTGGAGTGTTTCATTTTGAATTATGTAATTCTCCCCCACTTACCCCCACCCCACAGATCAGCTTTAAGAAAAGTGAGGGGGGGGGGGGAACGGCCAGGATTCTCTCATTGGCCTCTCCTGTACTGGCTGGAAAGGATCTCATCAGCCAATTTACACTAAAGCACTATCTGCAACAATCCCTGTCTCCCCTTCTTTTTCCCACCCTGGCATTTTAGCAGGGAGGAAGCACTCACCCAAGGAAACCCAACTTACACTAGCAATCTAAGGCAATGGCATCAAGATATGGAAGGGGAATGTTTCATGGCAACGGAAGTTTGACAGCCTTTCTGGTGGACTGTAGGAACACACCGCACAGGATGTACTTACAGCATATTCACCGCATCTTTGGCCTTATATCTGCAGAAAATTTTTGCTAAGCTGTTTTTGCAGAACCATCAACTCATCTTTCCTGCGTGGGCTTTCATTTGCTATGTTAAACACAACGGAGGCTTCACTATTTCTACTTCGGCGCTAATCATCGTCTTTTTTAAAAATCCCCCATACAGAAAGTTGCACTTTTCTTTTTGAGGACTCCTTGCTCTCTTCTACAATACTTGACTCTAAAGATTTTTTAAATTGAAAAATAAAATAAACCACCAAGAACCACGAACTGAAAGCCACAGGTGTCTCCAACTCAAGTTTTGCGACACTTCCCCCCCCCCGCCCCCGCCGCCCCGTTCCTAGAGACTATTTTTTTGAGGCCTGTTCTTGGCATCGAAGGCTGCCACCCCTTGAAAGTGCAATACCAACGCTGCGCGGGGTAGTCCGCCTACGTTTGCCTTAGCAAAGCGGGGACACTTGGGAACCAGAGGTCCCTACAGGAGACACAGAAGCGAACTCTCCGTGTCCGCGTCTTTCCAACCGGGACGGGACCATCTAACCATGGCTCTGGAGTCACACTACACCAGGTTCCGCTTCTGGTTGGCAACCGTGGAGTGTCATTTCCCCTCTCGAAGCTTCTATTTTTCAACTTAAAGACGAGGACCATCGAGCCTACCTCTGACGGTCGCTAGGAGTTCTGTACCAGCTACTGAAGGCAAAGCCCTCAGCGCTCAGGACTGGGCGCTCTCAGCAATCGGGCGGGGACGCGCTTTGGCCCCGGGACAGCGGCGGCGGCTTCCGGGCTCACCTGCGCGACGCACTGATCCAGGTAGAGCTCCAGGTACGTCTGCTCTTCTTCCATGGGTGGAGGCCTCACCGTTAGAAAGGCTGAGAAGGGGGAAGCGCCCAGGCAAGTCGAACTACCGCGGAGCCCGACTGAGCGCACGTGGCGCACAAGCCCTTTATCCGCCCTGCGGGCGCACGCGGCTAGGCGGGGCGGGGGGTCGGGGCCCCGAGCCTGGGGTGGGGGCGAGGTGGGGCAGGGCAGGGGCCGCGCGGGTCCCTGGCCTCAGCCTCCGCCCAGCCCACGCTGCTGCAGACCGCGCACAGCGAGTGAAGAGCAGGGGAGGGGAAGCAGAACTCAGCCCCGGGCCCACAGGCCATTGGGAAGAGGGGCAGAGTGGGGAGCGTGCAAGGAGACGCGAGGGAAGGGGCCCCTCTCCAGCGTGCAATCACCGCACTCCGCCCACAGCTGAGGAGCACCTTGGCCCGCAGGTCTGGAGATTTCCTTCAGTACCTGCACGTGCTCACTCACGCCTTTGCCTCCAGGGCAGGGGTCTCGGTGTTCGCCCCATAAAAGGTGAACGCGTTGGACGATGAGGAAATGAAGGGTATCCTCATACCCCCTTTTTAAGGGATTTTTTTCTCTCTCTCTCTCGCTTTCCTGAGCAGAGCGAGTGGAATTTGAAACACCCTTACCCAGTCAGGTGTAGTACTTTTACGTTATGATTGCTTCTTGCCTTCAAATCCCAGGTGTTCTTCCTCCAATCACAGAGCATTCAGTCTAAAACTACGTATAGTCTGAAACTAGTATAACACTGTACGTTAACCAAAGTGGAATTTAAAATATATAAAAATATAAAGCTTCATACAATCAAGTGTGCTGCCGCCGTTTGAGGCAGCTCAAGCAGATAATACAAAAACCAAATATTCAGAGTTGCCTCTTTCTTGAAATCATTATTTTAATTTTCAATGCCTCAGCTCTCCTAAGAACTTAAATGTGCAGATGGTTCTATAAATAAAATTGACACTTTCAATGTAAGATATTTCAACATGTACATGAAGACACACATAAAAATGTCTTTCCTGTTAGACTCGACTCTCTGAGAGCAGGAATTTTGATTACTCATCTTTGTATCTCTGTACCAAGCTCATAGATGATCAATAAGACTTCATTGGTGATTGAAGCTGCCCTCGAAATGGAGCAGAGGGTGGGGGCGGTGTGCCTCGCTGAGTCAGTGGGTTAAGCAGCTGCCTTCAGCTCAGGTCAGGGTCCTGGCATGGGAATCCCTGCTCAGCAGGGATTGCTTCTTGCAGGCCAATCTTGCTTCTCCCTCTGCCCTTCCCCCAGCTTGTGTGGGCACCCTCTCTCTTCTCTCTCTGAAATAAATAAAATCATTTAAAAAATGGAGCATGGGAAACATTATGGTAAATATAGATGGCTCTCACAATCAGATCACAATAGAAATCTTATAGAATTTCTAATCAAGAATATAGGAACTGTTTTGATAAAGCTGACTTTTATATAATGGTTTATAATGACATGTAATTTTGTTACAATTCTGCCTACAAAAAATGTTTAGCACAGTTCCTGCCTGGTCGCTGAGATATTAGCCTCTTGGTTTTGTTATTAGACTCTTAGGTACTGAATTGTGTTCTTCCTCAAATTCATATGTCAGAGCTCTAATCCAATATGACTGCTGTCCTTATAAGAAGAGAAGAGAGACACCAGGGATGCATGGGCACAGAGAAAAAGGCCGTGTAAGGACACAGTGAGAAGGCAGCTATCTACACGCTAAGGAGAGAGGCCTCAGGAAACCAAACCTGCTAACACGTCGCTCGTGGGTGTTCAGCCTCCAGAACTGTGAAAAAATAAATTTCAGTTGTTTAAGCCACTTGGTCTGTGCTATTTTGCTGTGACAGCCCTAGCCAACTAATATATAGAATCATGAAGGGTCTCATCATAGGTGGTAGGCAGAATCTGAGATGGCTCCCCAAATTCCCACCCTCCAGATGCATACACAGTTTCTCCCAGTTATTCAAACTCATCTAGGTGCTACTGTGAAGGGATTTTGCAGATCTAATTAAGGTCCCAGTCAACTTCAAGAAAGGTAGATGATCCTGGGTGAGCCTGACCTAATCAGGTGAGATTTTAAAACGAACTGGGTTTTTCTTCCTCATGTGGGAGATTCACAGCATGAAAAGGATTTACCATGAAGGAGATTCTCCACTCCTGGCTCTGGAGACTGGAGCCATGTTGCAATGAAGGTGGGTGACCTCTGTTTGCTGAGAGTGGCCCACGGTTGACAGCCAACAAGGAAATGGAGACCTCCTCCTATGGCTCTAAGGAACTCAGTTTGGCCAACAACAAAGAAAGGAATCCCTGAAAAGAACTCAACCTGGGCAATGCCGTCATTTCAGCCTTGGAAGCCCTGATCAGAGAACCCAGTCATGCTATGCCCAGACTTCTGAACTATACAACTGTGAACTTAAAAACGGTATTGTTTTGAGCCACCAAACTTGTGGTAATTTGTTACTCAGAAACAGAAAATGCAAAAAAGAGAGAGATGGAAAAAGAATACATCATAAATTATAAATAAGAAGTAGGGACCCAGATTTGCAGTGATCTGCAGTGCAAATGGTAAAGCAAATGAATAAAATGTTAACAACAAGCAAATTTGGGTAAGGGGTACATGAGGGATCCTAGTACTACTTTTATTTTTGTAACTTTTTCTAGGTTTGAAATTATTTCCAAATAAAGTTTCAGAATAAAAGAGGCGTGACTGTGTGAATGTTTTCAGTTGTTTTGTTGAGAGTTTTGTCCAAAATCTTAAATAGTTGTATTTCTGAGAATCAAAGATTGATATGGTTTGACTGAATAATAATTAAATGCTAGCAATCACTGAACTCTTATTATGTGCCAAGCACTGTTCTAGGTGTTTCAGACGTGAACTCATTTAAACATCACAACAGCCCTGTGAGGTAAGTACTCTTTTATCCCCATTTTACAGTAGAGGGTACTGAGGCACAGAGAATTTAGGAAACTTGTCCCAGGTAACACTGCCCCTATTCAGAGTATTTGACTCTTGAGTCACACGCTATGTATTGTCCCCCATCAAAGTCTGCATATGTCATTTCAAATTAGTAGTTTGTTTTCACTTGAACTGTGTTAATCTGTTTTGATTCTGATTTTTTTCTTCAGATTTTGTAATATTTTGTACTTTGGCAGAAAAAGAAAAAGGAAAACAAAATAACCTTATCCAAAAATTTTAATCTCTTCTTTCCTAATTACCGTTGTGAAGATTAACTGGATTAAATGGGAGTATGAGTAAACTTTTAGCAAGCATTTTGCAAGTATAAAGTATTGTTTTTAATGTCGTTAAGAGAGTAATGTCAAGACTTAGATTGACCACGCCAGTAGTTATGAAGAGTGTTTAAGAGAGGTCAACTCTTTGGAAAATAAGACTTTAACTCTTACTTTAATAGGCCCTGTCCTTCATCATAGAAAATATTAAAGGGGGACCTGGGTGGCTCAGTTGGTTAAGTAAATGCCTTCAGCTCAGATCATGATCCCAGGGTTCTGGGATTGAGCCCCCACATTGGGCTCCCTGCTCGGCGGGAAGCCTGCTTTTCCGTCTCCCTCTGCTGCTTCCCCTGCTTGTGCTCTCTCTCTCTATCTCTCTCCCTGTCAAAAAAATAAATAAAATATAAAAAAATATTAAAATAAAATCCATATCCCACATTAAATGTAATTTATAAATCACTGAGAGTTGAATTGCTTGTAACCAGTTGATACGTCCCATTTTGTAGATATTTAATCAAATTTACTAATTCAGTTTTGGAATTTTTTTTTAAAGATTTTATTTATTTGACAGAGAGCGAAAGAGCACAAGCAGGGGGAGCAGCAGAGGGAGAGTAGTACTAGGTAGGATCCCTCCCTGCTCTGCAGGGAGCCTGATGTGGGACTCAATTCCAGGACCCTGAGATCATGACCTGAGCCGAAGGCAGATGCTTAACTACTGAGCCACCCAGGCGCCCTCAGTTTTGAAATTTAAAAACATTTTGGAGCCAACAAATTTTTCTCCGCTCTCAAACAATCAAGAGCACTGGGCCTCAGCCTCTAAAATGCAGTCGCCTGGGTGGGACCAGATAGTCTCCGGCAGGAAAAAGATGGAACTTCAGGGTGGAAGGAATATTGGGAAACGTGTTTCACTAGGGGACGCTCTTTTCTCTCCATAAATATCTTCTGGTTTGGGGTGCAAACAGCTTTCAGAGTCAGATTACAAAGGGGTCCACACATTCCCCTAAATGTTAAAATAAAAAGTGGATATTTCTCTGTGGCAGAAGACCGGGGGGTACTTCCAAAAGATAAGATTAGTCACTGTACCAATCAACACAGATACATTTGTCCATATTTATACAAAGAGATTCAATTTACAGTGGCTAAACAAACCTAAAGGGCTTGTAGAGTAATCCACACTCCTACCACCTTGATGGGTGTTATACATGAGGGGCAATTTCGCTGCCTAGGAAAAATCTGAGAAGCAAGCATTTTCATAAATGTGATTAGGTTTCTTGAGGCCATGTTAGGAGAAAACATTTTTAATCTGTGGCCATTTTGCTAGATGCAGCCTTCTTTTTGTCTTAGGAGCCGTGGACATTCGTTGCAATTAATCTCTATATTGAGCTGCAAACTTCCTGACAGGGATTTTTATACACAAGAATATGAAGGTGGATTGGAGCAGGGCTTGAAGGTCTTTTCTAGATCAAAACTTAATGAATTTTTGTCCTTTCAGTAATCATTTGAAATAAAAATATCCCACAATAAGTCATCCTTCTCCTTCTCCCTGGAGATGGAGCCTAAACGTCAGCATCTGTGTGATGGCTCAATCAAGAAGGTGCTGAAGCCTTGTCACAAGTGACCTTCTTAGTCACCGTGGCCGTGGCTCACCAATCTCTGTCCCCTGAAACTCTTGAATGGTAATGTCACCATGCTTCTTCCCCAGGGAGGCTACTGCAGTCCCTCTCAGGTGGTGCCGTACACTGAATGTAAAGAAGACTCACTGTATCTTCATTTTCCCAGGAAAATGGCTCAATCTCATGTAAAATTAAAGCCAAGAATTAAAATTTCACAAGCTCATTTTTCTCTCTTGGACTAATCCCAAGTATGTTCTTTCTGTATGGACATCTACCATCAGAGGGTTTCTACAAGAAAGAACACATGATCTTTAAAGCACAGTATACATAGGAAGTGTTATTTGTGGGCACAGCTTTGGCAGCTGTTATGTGAAAATGGAATGGAGTCTGTCAGCCCTGATTCTGGGCAGAAGAGAGGTGCTCAACCATTTCTCAACCTGGATGCATGCAGGGCAGTCTGGTCCCAGACGAGAGCTCCCTTACCCCAGTCGTGCCCAGCAGCTTAGGTTTTGTAGCATCTGCTCAGGAAAGTACATATAAGGACTTCAGCTTCCTCTTCTCACTGAACTGAACTTTGTACATGCCTCGCGAAAAAACGTATCTTCGTACATGCCCGCACTTGCATTCTGTATAATTAGAGTCAAGTTGGGAATGACTCTTCAGTGCTGTCTTCTCCACTCCAAGAATTAACAGTTAAAATCTTA